GGGGGGGGGGGGGGGGGGGGGACGAGTGACATTGCTTTCTTCCCTTCGTGAGGGATGTCTCTTCCCGCCTTTAGGGGCAGGATGCACTGGTTTCCCTTTTGCCTAGTATGCTGTGGGGACGTTCGCTTACAGTACCCGACGAGGGCAAAAGGCCCTTCCAAGAAAACGACTGTTTCTTCAAAGGAAAAAAAAGAAAAAAAACGCCCATCATTTCTTTTATTTATCTTTTCTTACAAGGGCCTTAGTCCACCACTCACCAATGGTGCAAAAAGAGAATGAATCTTTGGCTGGGACATGGAAAGATACACCGCCATAAGCTGTCTGTTGTGCAGAGGTGAGGGTCCTGCCCCTGAAATGTTTTTTGGACGACCCCCATTTTTGGGGGTGCGACGCACCACGTGCGCAGGTGGCGCGCACATTACGCGCCGCAAGTATGGTTGCACCATGGATTTCCTTCAGGAAGGCTTCCTTCTGTTTGTGCATACAGTCAGTGCTCACACGCTATTTCTGCTGCGGCTCTGTGTAAGAGAGTAATGCCACGTGATGAATTGTTGTGGTAATTGCTACATGTCCAGTTTCCTCGGCTATCCAGAGTGCAGTGCTCCCTGCAGCAAGGCTTCCCTCAGTTTTGTCCACACAATGTTCACACACTATTTCTGCTTTCTTTTTGTGTGTGAAAGACTCAAAGAGACTACTATTGCCCGCTCGATCTGACATGTGCTTGTTTCCTTGCAGTGGGCTTCTGGGAGTGTCTACTATCTTCTGGGGCTATGGTCAAGGCTTGTCTTATCGATGCCGTACCTGAAGAGTGACTCACCGAGTCTTCTGGACACCTGTGTCCCTAAGATAACTGAAGCATACATTACTTCAAGACTGGATGCGGTGCGGGTGAGTCTTAAGGGCATACTCACACTAGGGCCTTTTTACTTAATTATGGACACAATTGCGGTTAGATGCATTCACGTACGGCCACAGATGTGATCAGGTACATTTAAGATTGATCTAGTGTGAGTACGCCCTAATAATGCCTTTGAGAGATGACCATGTGTGGTGCAGGTGCGTAGAATATCGTTCCACTTGCTAACTGGATGGACGGAAATGTATTATCGTTCTGTCACTTATGTTTGATGCAGCACTTGTCAGAAGTATGTTCTATGACGATCTTGGAGAACGGTATATGATATCATGCCTTGGTACAAAATCGTTTGGCTTCTTGAATCTTGGGCGCATAGTCCTTGTGGAGAGATTGTAAAATTTACAGTGGTGGTCTTGGACGGCATCCGTGGTTGTAACCTGAGCCATCAGCGTCCATAGTCCTTGCTGTGAAATTTACACTCTAAGTCTTACTTTTTCCTGTGTCCTGTGGTCGACAGGCTGTCATTCAGAATGCTAATCTTGAAGATCCACTGGATAACGAGGAGCAGCTTCAGGATCAGTTGGATAGTTTACCTTCCTTGTGTCGTTTTCAGGTAATGTCTGGACCGTCTGGTTTGATTTTAACATGATGGTTTTATCATTGGGTGTCTATAATGCAACCCAGAGAAAGATGTGAATTAATGGAGTCTGCTGAATGCCAGTTTGTTTTGCTGGCAAGTAGCTGCATGCTCATGATATCTAGTTCCAAAAGTAGGCATACTCTCTCTCTCTCTCTCTCTCTCTCTCTC